ACACGTTTCACAATATATGTACGCATATTTGATTAGCAAAAGAAATATACGTATGCATATATATATATATATGTATATTCCTGTATGGCACTATGAACCTTTCATTTTCCTAAAATTAATGAACGTTAAACGAGTCTCACGTTATCAATGAAATTTTAATTTTTCGTCCATTGCAGTCTTACTCTGTAGGTGGCTAATGTTTGGCTCTGATATCCGGTACGCAGTGGGTCCATGAATTTATTACAATAGGAAACACACAGAAAAATATGAATATAAAAAATAATAATTAAACATTATTCGGTCATTATGTCTAGTAAAATACAATTATTCTATAAATGAGAAATTTTATTACTAGAAAGAATGAATTACAAACTAAACATAAAGTTGCACATGACCTTAAATACAAAGAAATTTGACTCGAACGATTGGGTTCACCAGTAAAAAACAATAATAGTATAAGAGCGAATGTGAATGCCAATGCTCAAAAGGAAAAAGCCCTATCAGCACATAAAAATCGAACATAACCAAAATTTATTAAAAATGACTAAACAATCGATGGATTAAGCCAGTCGACTAAGACCAAATCTCAATTCACGGGGACATAAGCAATACGGCCTAGAGAAACCTCTAGTCAGACATCAACATCCACGCCATCAAGAAACACATCGAATAGATGGGAGACACAAACCAAGTCAGAAGGTGGAGAAACTACCTCCATTATTTCAAACAAAACGCATAGCCCACACCATTAAGCGGGTGGGAGACACAAAATCATGCGGAGGACAAACCTTATGTAATTACAACAAACAACAAAAAAATCACCGACACCAAGCCGTCTGCTAAAGTACAGAAGCAAGATCTAAGCAAAGCCACCATAAAAGGAAAGCACAACTGGAGGAGATGAAGGAAACACACCATGAGATCACGACCACCTGTTGCCGAACACGCTGGAAACAACGATCCAAGCGACAAACAACCCGCCTCCAAAACGAGTTAGATCCATCCCAATAGAAGCGTTGCACCACACACATCCACTTTCACGTGAAAACCAACATCGAGACGAGTTCAGGGACCAACTTTTGGGACCAAAAGCCCGGCACGCCTGGCTGCAGCACCAGAACTTCAGCCAGAACCAGCACTCCAAGAAGAACCTGTTTCTCTCTCTCTTAACTTTTTCTCTCTCTCTAATATTAATTTGTTTTTCCTATCAACATATTTAACGAAGCCTAAACATAATAATTTTTTTTTATTTTGTATAATTTTTAAAATTGTATTTGCATATGCACATGATCAAATTAGTCTATATTTATTACTATATTATTCGGTGCTACAGTGAATTATTCACTTTGAAGAATAAGGAGCATTGAGAAATGGGGGAAAAAGGGGCAAGAAATCTATAAATAAACTTAATACTTAGAGTTATTTGGGACAAAAAGAAATAAGAGGCCCCCACATGCACCACCAAACCTCAAGAGGGGGCGAGCGGAATGATACTTTTAGAGCCCATTTGGTTCATGGATTAGAACCATGAGATTATAATCATTTTTTATTTACGTGTGTTTTTTGTGAGAGAAAATACTACAGCGAACCATGAATCATGATTCGAATCAGAGAACGAATTCTCCAACCAAACGGGCTCTTAAAAAATGACTAAACAATCGATGGATTAAGCCAGTCGACTAAGACCAAATCTCAATTCACGGGGACATAAGCAATACGGCCTAGAGAAACCTCTAGTCAGACATCAACATCCACGCCATCAAGAAACACATCGAATAGATGGGAGACACAAACCAAGTCAGAAGGTGGAGAAACTACCTCCATTATTTCAAACAAAACGCATAGCCCACACCATTAAGCGGGTGGGAGACACAAAATCATGCGGAGGACAAACCTTATGTAATTACAACAAACAACAAAAAAATCACCAACACCAAGCCGTCTGCTAAAGTACAGAAGCAAGATATAAGCAAAGCCACCATAAAAGGAAAGCACAACTGGAGGAGATGAAGGAAATACACCATGAGATCACGACCACCTGCTGCCGAACACGCTGGAAACAACGATCCAAGCGACAAGCAACCCGCCTCCAAAACAAGTTAGATCCATCCCAATAGAAGCGTTGCACCACACACATCCACTTTCACGTGAAAACCAACATCGAGACGAGTTCAGGGACCAACTTTTGGGGCCAAAAGCCCGGCACGCCTGGCAGCAGCACCAGAACTTCAGCCAGAACCAGCACTCCAAGAAGAACCTGTTTTTCTCTCTCTTAACTTTTTCTCTCTCTCTAATATTAATTTGTTTTTCCTATCAACATATTTAACGAAGCCTAAACATAATAATTTTTTTTTATTTTGTATAATTTTTAAAATTGTATTTGCATATGCACATGATCAAATTAGTCTATATTTATTACTATATTATTCGGTGCTACAGTGAATTATTCACTTTGAAGAATAAGGAGCATTGAGAAATGGGGGAAAAAGGGGCAAGAAATCTATAAATAAACTTAATACTTAGAGTTATTTGGGACAAAAAGAAATAAGAGGCCCCCCCACATGCACCACCAAACCTCAAGAGGGGGCGAGCGGGAATGACACTTTTAGAGTCCATTTAGTTCATGGATTAGAATCATGAGATTATAATCATTTTCGATTTATGTGTGTTTTTTGTGAGAGAAAATACTGCAGCGAACCATGAATCATGATTCGAATCAGAGAACGAATTCTCCAACCAAACGGGCTCAAGAATTGAAATTCCAATATACCATTTTTATGAAAAGATTGAATCTAATTTACATATAAAAATAGTACAAGTGAGTAACTATATTTCGTAAGCGATACTGGGACTAATTTACACCCAATAAGATCTATGTCCAACGCTACAAGGAAAGAGAAATCTTATAAAAAAAATAAAAAAAAATAAAAAAAAAACGCACCTCTAACAAAAGAGCATAATGATTTATTCTATTTTTTTTATAAAATAATATTAGAGACACTAATTATAATATCATTTTTTATACCAACTTTAAGTTATCATTGTTATTCATCAAATTAATAATAATATTACATTTACTAGTAAAATGTGACAATTCAAAACTTTTATAAAAATTAAAAATAAAATTGGTACCCCAAGCACCACTCTTTCTTAATTCCTTATAATTAGAAGACTTCCAAATCATGTTCTCTTTTTATATAACTTTAAGAGAATGAGACAAAATTAAAAAAGACATGCCACCACTCTTTCGTAATTCCTTATACATTAGAAGACTTCCAAAGCATCCTCTCTTTTAATGTAACTTCAAGAAAATGAGACAAAATTAAAAAAGACGTGCTCCCTAATTTTCTAATTCCCTACTTGTAAAAATTGTTGTTACTTTGTAACGGTTTGATTTATGATTAGAAATAGTTTTATGTCGCACGTTATAAACTCTTAATATAGACAAAACAACAAATTAGATAGTTAAAATATTAATCTAATGATTAAAACAATAATTCTTACCGGTAGAAAAAATCAACAAATTAGATAGTTAAAATATTAATCTAATGATTAAAACAATAATTCCTACGGGTAGAAAAAACGGACAGTCTCTATAAGCAAGAGTTGGTTTGATACTTGAGACATAATAGTATACGATGATCATTTTAGGTGTGTGACAAATTCTTTTGAATGAGTACAACCCTTAAAATAAATAAAAAAATAAATAAAAAGTGAACAACAACAATAAAAATAACAAAAACAACGTAACTTGTTCATTTACACTTAAATTTTAAAAAAATTTAAACTCAAGTTACAATTTTATTTAAGTTTATGTTCTTTTATAAATTAACTCAAATTAAATTTAACGAATAGCATTTTTTTTATTCTTAAAAACGTTATAACTTTTTCGTTTTAATTTCGATTGAGATGTTTTTTTTCTATGAGTTCACAACGAAGAGAAGAATAAAACTCTACTCATATTCCTTATTAAAATTTTTCATCACTATTAAGTTTTTATTAAAATACTATCAAAATACAAATTCAAGTATTGACCCGCCTAATACAAACTCAAATAAATTCTCAATTCAAACCATAACTTAAAATGTGCACATCTAAATACAATTTTAAATTAGAGTCTCAACTCAAATCATACTCAAATACACACTAATTCAAATTAAAATTTAAACTCAAATCAATTTAACTCAAAAAATACAAATAAACAAACCCGTACGCGCTTGTGTTTTGTGCACCTACATACGTACGTGCAACAAACACAAAATTGCCTTTCCGTTTTCACCTCACTCTCTCCCTCCCTCCCTCCTTATATATATACACATAAATAAATCTAAAGCTGCATTGTAACACTGCATTACAACCCCATAAGATTCACTCTCTTCTCAGGAAATTAAACAGCATTTTCTCCGCTGACAGTTTCTTTCGATTCGTTTCAAATTACCAAAAAGAGATTAAATATATTAATTAATGGCCAGAGAAACAGAGCCCAAAACCGTCGTCGTGAATGGTAATAGAGACGGCGATTTCGATCCGAGCGCTCCTCCGCCGTTTCGGATAGCTGAGATCCGAGCCGCCATTCCCGAGCATTGCTGGGTCAAGAATCCATGGCGGTCTCTCAGCTACGTTTTCCGGGATTTGTTCGTCATTTCCGCCTTGGCATCCACCGCAATCTACTTCCGTAGCTGGTTACTTTGGCCTTTCTACTGGGCCGCCCAGGGAACCATGTTCTGGGCTCTCTTCGTACTCGGGCACGATTGGTAAAAGTTTCTCGAGTTTTTCTTTTGGTTTTTTGATGGTAAAATGTTGTTGGATTAATTTTTTTTTTTTATTGATTCAGTGGTCATGGAAGCTTTTCGAGCAGTCCGAAGCTGAACAGCTTGATGGGGCATATCTTGCACTCTGCAATTCTCGTACCTTATAATGGATGGTTTGCAATCCTCATTTCTCAAAAACTTTTCTTTGTACATTTTATATTAAATCCCAAATACATAAAAACTGTTTTTTTTTTTTTTCTCTTAAAAATTAATCACACAATGATTTATGTTATTCTGCAGGAGGATTAGCCATAGGACTCACCATCAGAACCATGGACATGTTGAGAATGACGAATCATGGGTTCCGGTATTTTTTCTTTTTTTTTTGTAAATCTTATTTTTTACAATATATAATCTGATAGATTCCGGTGTTCTGTTCTAAATCTCAATTAATATATTTCTTTAATGTCTCTGTCATCTAGTTGACTGCAAAGATGTACAAAAGTTTGGACAATAAAACAAAAACGTTGAGATTCACAGTGCCATTCCCCATCTTTGCGTACCCTTTTTATCTGGTGAGGAAGTTACAATTTTTTTTTTTTTTTTAATTTATTGATTCTACCTTTGATTTCTGATGGTTAAACAAGGCCTTTAAAAATAAAATTAAAAAAAAAAAAACTGTGTTTTCAGTGGAATAGAAGTCCAGGAAAAGATGGTTCCCATTTCAATCCTTACAGTAAATTGTTCAGCCCAAATGAGAGGATATCAGTTGTAACTTCAACAATTTGCTGGTCAATTATGGCCGCTCTTCTAGTCTATTTGTCCTTGGTTGTGGGTCCCGTTCTCATACTCATGCTCTATGGGGTCCCTTATTGGGTGAGTTTGGCTTTGTGTGTTTATTGGTGAAAATCTTTTCCATCTATGCAATTTTTCTCCTTTAGGTTCTTTTGAAATTTCTTTTAATAGCAATTAAATGCATATTAATGGCAGGTCTTTGTGATGTGGCTGGACATTGTCACTTACTTGCATCACCATGGTCATGAGATAAAACTTCCTTGGTACCGAGGCAAGGTAGTAATTTTTCTGCTGATCTATCAAAAGGTTTTTAATCCTACGTTATGCAGAGAAAGTTAATTTCGTAAATTGAACAATCTTACAGTAATTTTTGTAGTTATTCAATGAAAATTTTAATCCAATTACTAGGGGGGGAAAAAAAATCTTGTTATACCGAAAGGATGAAACAACGTGCTCTACCATAGAACTTTTTTTATTTGATAAGCTATCTATCATTCTTATAATTAAATCTTACCACGTGACTACTAGTACACGATGCTCACGATCAAACCAATTAAAAGACATCATATAATGATGTGGGTCCCCACCTGAAATCTCTGTGAAATATTGATACCATCGCTTGGCAACATCATAATATAATAATGAGGACCCACAAAAATTTATCAGAACTCTTCAAGATCTAGACACTAATAGTTAATATTTGTAATCCATGATTGAGCAAAATTAAACTTGTTTGTAAATATTGCGTTTGGCAGGAATGGAGTTATCTAAGAGGAGGGCTCACAACGGTGGATCGTGATTATGGAATGTTCAACAACATCCACCATGACATTGGCACACACGTTATACACCATCTCTTCCCTCAAATTCCACACTATCACCTTGTGGAAGCAGTACTACACACTCTTTCCCTTTGAACAAGTTCTTTAATTAATTACACAAAATTGCATTGCAATTCTTAGCCGGTGCTATTTGTCTTGCAGACTAAGGCTGCAAAGCCGGTGCTCGGAAAGTATTATCGGGAACCGAAAAAATCCGGGCCGATTCCCTTCCACTTGATCAAGAATTTAGCGACAAGCATCAAACAAGACCACTACGTGAGTGACGATGGGGACATAGTATACTACCAAACGGACCCCCAGCTTTATAAAATATCTAAGAGACGCAAGTGGAATTGATTCTTTTGGGACCCCCCCATTTGTTTAACAGGGGATTCTACATAGTCTAGATTATGGTCTTGGTCTTCATGTGGTTGCTAGCTAGAAGAGAGGCTTTATATTGTTTGTTTAGCCTCTAAAAACTGTAGTTGTATTCCATTCTACGATTACAAATTGAGGTGAAAAGTTGATGGCGGCCTTGGTTTTGAATTTTCATGATGGCTTATACCCCAATTTTTAATCTGGAGAATTATGTTACATATTTTGCTGGTTTAATCTTTCTACTACAAATTAGGGTGGACTTTGCAAAACAAAAATATTGAAAAGGCAAGGCTTGATTTCATACGGTCTATTCTTATTACATCAGATATTATATGCGCATGGAAATGAAATGTCAACTCGCTGAGTAGACCGGTTGTCACAGTTTACAATATACTATTGCTAACAGATTATTGTAACGTTAGTACATAGCATTTCATTATGAGTGTGGTCCTTGTACCGCTGTCCACTAGTTAGAAATTGTGTACAGCTACTTGAGCCCAAAAAATCTGGGCCAACTTCGTTTCAGTACTGGATCTAAAATCTAAAAGAGAAGAGGTACGGCTAAACTCGCTAATAGATATCTGGTTTTCTCATGAACCAGACCCGCATGCACAAAGAAGAACATATATCTCGGATCATATTCTTGTGGAACTTATGTCGTCCCATTCATTGTTGTTCCTCGGCCCTGCTAGCCATTTGCTTGCTCGACCTGTATACATTCATAGAGTCGGAGGTTAGAAAGAATTGGCAGGTTTAAGGTATGAGTCTTACCCTCTTAATTTTCACCTCTTATACTTTATTAATACTTTTTAGTTCAGACAACTATATTAGTCAAAAGAATATTAACTATTAATTAAGAATAAAAGGTAAAAATCTTAGAATCATACATTTTAACTTTAAAAGGTGAATTCACCAATTTTCTCAATTTTTTTTTTTTTATAAAAATATGGTAAAAAGCATGCATACACATTAGACAAGACCACTATCTCAACTCGACAACAATGTAAAGACAGTCACATTGTTTGGTACAATAATTGACTATAATATGGAGGAATGGCAAGAACATTAAATATATGGAATGGAATCATTGGAATTTATTCGTTTATCAACTCGTAGTTGAACTTTCTGGGTTGTGCGTGGAGTCAACTTGATAGTTTCCCAATATTCTAAAATATAACTTCATATTTTGCTCTTTTTTAAAAATATATATATATTTTTTAATTAATACTGTTACACCATTCTGAATCCTCATTTTCGAAAAATCCCCTGGAGCAACTCCAGGCTGTCAAGCTGATTTTTTAAGAGCTTAACATTACACTAAATATATGGTTTTTTTGTTATTGGCCCACTGTTGTTGTTAAAGTCACTACGGACTTCTGCTATTTGTGTTGAATGAATCCCGTGATCTCAGTTTCATAACCATGTCTAACGTAGATACTCCACTCAAAAAGTAATATAGATCTGATGGTCCATTACATTAATTTATTATCTGCTATTCTGTTAGAAACTTTATTATTTAATTAAAATCACATCAAAATAAAAAAAAATGTAAATCTAATAAAATATAACATAAATCTGATGGTTAAATTCTATCTTTAACAACAGAAGAATCCATGAGAATTGAAGTCATGGACCTAAATATAAAGCTGTACTATGAACTCAATAGCTACAGAGTTACATCGCTAATTATTATGCTTCAACATGTACCATGTATTTTCTACAAAAAAAAAATCCATGTAATATGTATGAAATAAAAGTCATGAATGATGATTGTGGAAATTCACACATATCATTATATACATTATTCATGTGCTAGCCATGACTAAACATTGTGGATTTCGAAATCCCAACAAAAAAGTGGACTGGATTCTGAAACATGGAAGCAGAAGCGGTCGGAGAGTAAACATTGCACTGCCTAATTGGTGGTTTTGGTCCTGGCCTTTTGGTCACAGTGAGTGTCTAGTTTGAACAATTTCAACCAGAAAAGGTCAGCAACTTCGGCTGCAAAACCCAAAAAGAATTTCGTCAGGTCACTGATCACACCCAGGACCAGTACTCTCTGATTTTCTGACACACAAACCGCTTTTGTGTCTCCAACCCATCACCACACGCGAATTTTAGGAGACGTTTAATCCATTTAGAATTATGTTTTATTATTTTAATTTTTAAAATTTAAATTTTTTATAAGAAAAAAATATTATAAAGAATTCAAAATTAACGAAGAATTTTTAAAACAAACATCTCATATACTCACCCAAAATTTCGTATCTCATTTTCCTGCCAATCACACTTTTTAAGTAGCCGAATGTAGCAAAAATTATTGCATATGATCAATATTGTCCTATGTAGTTTCATTTTTTTTTATGATACAAAAATTCTTCCTAATTACCACACATGTAGCATTGCATACCAGTGTCAATTCATTAAATAGTTAACACATGTAGGGCCTGTTTAGTTCATTGATTCGAGTTTTTAATTTAAGTTGAGACGTGACTTTATGTGAGAGTTTTTTACCGTAATAAAAAAATTAAATGTGATTATTTCTAAGAGCATTTTACTGTAATAAATTTGAATTCTAAATTTGAATCGGTGAAATGAACGAGACTTTAATTCTTAAGAATAGGATTAAAGTGACTTGATCGTCTCAAAAGAGTGGATCTATTATTTAGGAGAGGACTCAGCTCAACTCAATCTCTTTAGTAATGAATATTTCTTATGGACACCAGAAGTGAGCTTGTCACCGGCCACACAGAGAAGGGATTACAATCACGTATTCAATTGTTGGTATTTCAGTTAAATTACAATATGTTATATTATTTAATTGGTTCAAATATAAAACATGAAAATAGCGTGACATAATAGGTTAGACATCATTTTAAATATCAAAATTAGACAGCTTATCTGAGTCAATAAGATCCGCTCTAGTGCTACTTACCCCGTTGTTGCTCTCTTTTTAAGTAGTTGGCAATATATTTGTGTTTACTATGGGAGACGCTTTTTTTTTTTTTTTTTTAAAAATGTAGACTGTAGAGTAGGAACTTCCTTCTTCCATGGGAGGCATTATTCCTCAAGCGCGCTAAGAGAGCGCATTGCATTTTGCATGCACTGCATGAGCCGTCTCCACCACCACCACACCACCCACGACAACAACAACAACTAAAACTCTAAAAGCCACAAGACAACAAATCCTAGAAACCGACTTCACAACGCGTGTAGCAAACATAATTGTCACCTTCCTGTTTACTAATAATCAACAACATGTTTTTTTCAAACCCAAATCCCGCCATTCTGTCTATCTACAACCTATCTAACTTTTTCCACTCTCTCTCCTATACAGTACAGTACCACCACAACCAAATTTTGAATTTTCCTTTCATCTTGCCTAACCACACCTTTTCCTTTTCCTTTCTTTTCCTCTTTTCTCTCTCATTTTGAACTATTCTTTTCCGCTTTTGCCACCAAAGTTGAAAAAAAAACTCCACTAGGCACTAACCAACCTCTCTCTCTCTCTTACCATTTCTGATCTCACTCTCTCATCATGAAGCTCTTATCTTCTTCTTTTTCCTCATCATCTTCTTCAACCGCCTCTTTAAATGTAAATATGTGCAATTCAAAAAGTGCCACTGCAGGTTGTTTGGCCGGCATTCTACGTAGAATTCTCTGCTCCGGAACTCTCCCAACACACCCTTCTGATCACATCACAGAAGACGCTGATTCTCTCATGTCCTTGAACGTCGGAGAGAAAAATCTGTCACTTGAAACTCCGGGGCTAGTTGCTAGGCTCATGGGATTGGAATCAATGCCGGATGTGGATTTCAGATGTGTCAAGTCGAGGCCTAATTCGGTCGCGAGAAGCCGGTCCATGAATTCGACGGATAGATTGGCGGGATACAATTGCGACGACCCGAAGCAGCAGCAACAGGGACGGCATCGACGGGCAAAATCTACAACGTCGTTTCGAGAGACACCGGAGTTTGTCGAGCTCGGAAACGAGGAGTTCTTCATACTCAGCTTCGAGAATGTGAGCAAAAGCAAGGAATTCAGACCGAAAGAGAGGAAATGCGAGGTGGGTTGTGGAGAATTGAGGCAGAGAAGAATTAAAAAGGCCGAAAACAGAACGGAGAAGACGGCGGCAAAGACAATGATAAAGAAGAAGGATGACCAAGAAGGGAAAGGAAGTGTTTTAAGTGATTTGAACGGAAAGGTAACTCATAGAAGAAGCTGTTCTGACAAGTGTACTAACGAGGATGGAAATAACGTAAAGGTTAAGGATTCAACAACTAGTTTAGTTTCCACCAAACAGAATGTTGTTGCCTCAGAAGCAATGAAGTCTCGGAAGTACAAAAAGAGTGAGAAAATTTTGCCGTCTAATGGTGTGAAGCCAAATTTGAATAAGAAGACAACGAAAAAGAAGACAATTTCTCAAGCAGTTAAGCAAAAAGAATGCGAGTGCACCACGGAAGATTCAAGCCCAGTTTCTGTTCTTGACTGTGGTCAATTCCTCATTGATCCTCAACATTCTATATCAGGTAATTACTACAATTTGTTTTTCTCTATGTTTACATTGTATACAAATTTACCAAATTAAGAGCTTGTTATATGATTTATTTGTTTTCTGATGTTGGTATTTTTGGCAACAGAAGAAGATTGTGGATCAACGACAACAAGCTCAAGAAGGAAACTGTCGTTGGAGATTGAGAATTACGAGCGACAATGTCCACGTAGAGACCATAATTTGATGAGTGAAGGAGAACAAACAGAGGCAAAGCAAGGGAAATATGGGAAGAAACTGAGCGATGGCCAAGAGAGTTCACAAGTTTTGGATGAGATTTATCGGCTTAGTGAGGCTGAGTTGTTTGTGTCATCAAATTGGGTAAAAAGATGGAATTTGAATCATGACGATTTTCAGTGCATTGGTGAAGAGTTGGAGTTGCAAATATTTGGTCAGTTGCTAGAGGAGGTTGTGGATCATCAGTCGTGAAACCAAAAAAAAAAATATATATATATATATATATTTGTAAGATCTCTAACCTTTGTAGATTACATTAGATTAACCCATTATAGTAACTTTTACTTTGCACACAGAAATAAAGTCGTCTATGAGTTTCTTGCTTTATTGTATAATAATGTCAATATTCATTTCCTGATATTGTGATATGGCTCAGAAGTCTACTATATGACTTGGGCTAAACCACTCATTGATCACCACATATGTGCATGTTTGAATTCTTTACTTGGTCCTACTAATTACCATTTCCCTATCTTTTGTGAATTACGAGATATTTTATCAATAGTCAGATTTCAGAACATTGTTCATACAGGGTACCTTTTCTTTTAATCTCTAGAGATGCTTGTTCAGACACCCAAAACTCAGATATAATGGGGCATTTGGTAGAGGGATTCGTTCCTTGATTCGAATCATGATTCGTGATTCGCTACAGTATTTTCTCTCACAAAAAATACACGTAAATCGAAAATGATTCGAATCACATAATTTGAATCCTCCAACCAAACAAACTTAATTGAATTGATTATGTACGGTATTAATCTAAAGGAATCCTAGTACAGGGTTGGTATGTCAATATGTCACTGCCACAAAAGCACTACCCCGTAGTTCATTTGTTTATTTATATGTGAAACAGGAAAAGTCTTAAAGGAAAATTACGGAGGCATTTGAAACTCATTTTAAAATGATTTTATTTTTTTGTATAAAAATAAAAATAAAAATATTTTTAATTTCAGATAGAAATTATTTTTAAAAATACGTTTAGTAATTTTATTAAAAGATTATTTTTAGTATAAAAAATTTATTAATATCTATATTTCTTTCTCTCTGGTCGAGAGAGGAGAAAACGAAAATAAAAAATGAAAAATAACTAAACGTCATTTTTCATTTCTCTATCATTTTACACTAAATAAAAAAATCGTTTTCATTTATGTTTTTTGTCTTTATTGCGTCAAATACCGTTTGAAAAGGTTTTCATTTTTTCTTTTTTGAAAAACGTAAAAAATAAAAATGGGATCAATTTCAAACACGGCCTAGATATCTATTTAAAAACACCTCTATTAACTCTTGCTGCCCATTATGGCTACTGCTTCATTTTTACCTGGAAAATTATGCTCCATTTAATTCGTTAGTTTGAATTTTATCGGTTTAAATTTTTTAATTTGAATAGAAAAATTTTAACTATGTAGTTTATATTGTAATTTAAATTGACGTTTAGATTTGTAGTTAAAATTTTAATTTGAACATGAAATAAAATTTGAATTTGTGTTTAGTAGTTGTGAAAAGCAGAGAGAGTATGCACTTTTCACTGTTCAAAAATGGTTTGAACAGTTGAACTTGAGGGGAGAGCTAAACTTTAAGTTAGGTCGCTTAGCTTAATTCAAATGGGAAATATAATTCAAACTGCATGTTGACCAAACGACAGTTCAAACCCTACTTACTGTTCAAACTGAGTTGAACTGAACTAAACTAATGAAACGAGACTACATATGTTGAGGCTTTTAAAATGTTGGTCATTGTTTTGGTCTTTCACAATGCATGCCCCCCAAGAATAAGACATATTACAACAAGAAATTTAGGAGTTTCTCTGGTAAGATAATTCTATCAATAGTTTTCAATTTACGACCATTGGACTTGGTCAAAATCATATAAGATTGAAAAAAATATACAGAACAGATAATTTTTAATATAAATAAATAAAAAACTATTGGTAGTAATGGGTTGTTAGTTGATGGATTCGTACCCTGATTCAAATCATGGTTCATAGTTCGCTAATATTTTTTCTCATAAAAAATACAAGTAAATCGATAATAATTCTAAATCATGAACCAAACGTCCACTTTTTTTTCAGACTCTACCAAAAAGGGTTCCAAAATTTAATTGTTCTGCATCATATATTCAACATTTTCATCGAACTTTTCATATAAAATAAAATATTATTTCACACCTCTTGAGTCCTGACTTCTAAATGTTACGTTGTAAATAAATTTTTTGTGATGACTAATTTTTCAGTCCTTCATGAAGAACTATCCTACACCATTGCATGTAGAAATAAGAGGTATTACATGGCAATTATTTTCTTTAAAAAAAACAAAACAAAAGTTTCTCCCGTAGTTTGTCATACCGATAATCTTAATTTTTTATTGTTAGATTTGATTAAAATCACACCAAATTGAAAAGATATACAGAATAGACAGATTCTGATACAAATCTTACAGTTAAAAAGTAAAAAATTACTAATAACCTATTTTTACAAAGACTACTAGAGAAAGTCAAAAAAAAAAAAAGGATAACAACCCTTAAAATATATCGACACTTATTATGTTGATAAATAGAAATGTTCATTTCCCCCTTGCTTCACCTAATATAGAGGTATTTGGACTACATTTATATATCTTTCTAGTGCTCTTGCCACTAACAATTACCACCAAAAAATGAAAAGTTGATTTAAAAGACGCAAATAAATTGACACAGCAGGAACCTGAACCAGAACCTCTATCCTTTCTTTTTGTTAGTGCTCCAACTCTCCCCAATTGGAATTTGGAAACCAAAGAACCAATGACAATGAATCTCGCCTTTTGAAAGCCGAAAGCAAAACGCAGAATTCCAAAAAGCAAAAACACCACCATGACATGTTGCAAAATGGAAAGTTGGACAAAAAAGCTTAGCACCTTGGATTTACGTCGTAAAATCAGATGGGAAATTCCAACCGTTCGATGAAGTAGGCATGGTCATCCAGATTTCATGAAAAACGTAATTTTATAGATTAATTTGAAAGACTAAATTACAGAACACATAAAATTATACAACCTCTCCCAATCCAAATTTAGAAATTGAATCCGGGGGTAGTTTTTAACAATCAGCATCTTTCTGGTCTCAAATGGCATATTACCAAAAGAAAGACGACCAAAAGAAATAATTACTAAACCCTGTTATTCTTACGAAATAAGAACCTAATATTACATGAGCAAGACCTCTTTGTCCTGCTTAACTTCTCTGATTCTTTCCTCTCCCCCTCCCCTTCTCCAGTTTCTTCAACCTAAATATTATGAATATCAAATAATAATTCAAAAAATGGCATACAAAAAAAAAAAAAAGAGTCAAAAGGAAGAGATCATGGGATTTATTGATGTTGCATTAAGCCACCATCTGCTCCTGCTCCATGTACATCTGCTCCACCCAAGCTGGGAGCATCTCCGGCACAGGAGTGTCGAAATGGCATTGTTGCTGCTCCTCAAAGCTATTGTTGTTATACTGCACAGTTTTTTTAGGTTGGGGCTCAACGACCAGGGACTGAACCCAAGACACATCAGGCTCATCCACGGTGGCTGGCGTTGAGGCTGCAGCTGTGGCAGCAGCATAACTTCCACCGCTGCTACGCAGCCCAAAGGAAGCAGATTTTCTCAGCTTGTTTAGCTCCTCTCCCTGAATACCCCAATCCAATTTGCCATCAGGAGACCCCCAGTCTGAAAGATTGGAGGACGCCATTATGCTTGAACCTGCAGGGGAAGAAATCCCAGAATGACGGTTAACAACGCTGCGCTCAATGAAGCTCTGGCTTCGCTTTGCAAACGCAGCAGCCCGCGCACTCAAAACAGCTGCTGCTGATCCGCCAGATGTGTCGCCAAACAAAGGAGAGGCTCTTGCAGGAGAGGATGAGAGGCTAATTGGGTAGCTTGAGTTGAGCTGTTGATTCATGCTTTGGCGCATCTGAATCCCGGTTGGAGACTGCAGCTGGGATGCAGTGGTGGTGTCAAGTGAGAGACCCTGTAATTGAGACAAAATTGCAGGATCAAGAGATCCAAATACATCTTCAAGGTTAGTAGGCTTCACCCCTCCAAGTCTGTTCAACTCCCCAGTTCGATCCCCGAGCATTGAAAAGGCCGAAGGATTGGATAAGCCATTGTTCCAGCTGGAGGGAGAGGAGATACCGGCTATCTCGTCCCTTAACTGCTGCTGCCTACGGCGGTGAGTTTCAATGTCAAAATTCATATCTCTAGCACTCAGGGCAGATTTCAGCCTGCTTCCTGGGAGCTGCAAGCTGGGAGGTGCAATGTTAGATTGGTTTTGCCACATGTTTCCGCCCATAGGCGAAGATGCTCCAGATGGAGTCATGGGCGGTGTCGAAGGAGGCATCAAAACAGAAGGAGAACCAAGGGCAAGTGGGGTAATAGACCCCATGTCCAGAGAAGAAGCGCTGGCTGAGAAGGATCTCGGTGAAGGCACAGCGGAACCAGTTGAAGCATACAAAGGTCGCAGCTCTTCTGGTTTGTGAGCAAAGAAACAGACCCTTCTTTGGCACCCAGTCTCATCCTTGCAGAGACGGGTGCGGTACTGAGCAGGGTGAAGCCAACACTCGAAAATACCATGTGCATACTCGCAAGCATCTCCCTGCCTACAGGACCCTTTTCTAAATTCCGGGCAGGGGACACAGCTATAGTGATATTTCCTCGGATCACGCCGCCTTGCATTTTCCCCGGGGTGGACGAAGGGACACTCGGTCCAGTCATGTGAGTACGCCCTTGAGCAAGGCTTGATCTTGAAAGTATACATCCTAAAATCATCTGTGCTATAAATCCCATTCTTGATGTCTGGAAGAGAGAGATCAACAGGGTACTCTTTCTTCTCCACCCCATCCTTCGCGGCTCTAAGAGTCAAAATCTCTGGTCTTTCTTCCTCTTCCAATTCGTCAACTACTTGCTCAGGCAAACCAAAAGCTTCGTCAATACCGTTGGAACCATTCAACATCGCATCCAAATCTTTCTTCTTCAAGTTGAACGCTGAGCTCCGAACGGGCAAGATCAAGTCACCCGGTCTGTTTCCACTTGCATCAAGAGAATTGGCGTCGGCAGAAGCAGCAAGCAAGAGCTTGACAACCTCATCCGAAGCAGCAGAGGCGCCAGCAGTGGCACAATGGAGAGCTGTGGCCTTATCCGAACCACAAGACCTATTAACATCAACACAACCTATTTCAAGTATATAATTCAAGACATCTTTGCTTCCGAACATGGCGGCGATCATGAGGGGAGTCCTCTCCTCAAAACCCAGCTTCTTTGAGCCAATTCTCCCCCCATACCACAAACTTGCTTCATCAATGTCAAGGCCTTCTTCTTCTACCGCGCTTTTGAAGCCGACGAGGTCATCAGAGGCGGACAGCTCAAGCAAAACCGAGTTATAACGGAGCCCTTCTTGCTTCTCTAACTCACCGTCCATGATCAAACCAGCGGCTTCTGGTTTCCTCTTGGAACCACTGCACATGGAGAAAAAGCTCTCTGCGAAGACCCCCAACAAAAGTGTGTTACTATAAAAACTCAAGAGCAAATTTTCACAACCCTCTTCCAGAAATTACAGCATAAGTTGATTTTTTGTGGGGAAAAAAAGGAAAGCAAAAAAGAAAGAATAGTACAAAGAAGGGAGAAGATTCAATTACATATAAAGCAACGAAAGTCAATAGGTACAGAGAAACCAAAATAGAAGGCCAAAAAAGGCGTCTTTTAAAAACTTTCACACATTAAAATTAAAACAAAGTTACAATATTTAGCCATCAATACCATGTATTTACACAATAAGCAGCCAAATTCAGGCAACAATGAAACATAAATCCGTTACTTTCCCAAAAACAGAACCAGATAACAGAAAACAACTACTCGTTCGTTGGCAGAGGAAACTGTAAAACATATAAAACGAACCTTCTAGACTTTCTAGAATTTTACAGCTAATAAATTTCAAGAAACAACAACAAACGCATAAAAAAGAAAAAGAAGAAAAAGAAAACTAAGGAGCCAAGCTTCAAACTTCTCCGCTATTTTCTCGCATTTTCTCAGCAAACAAACAAAGAAATACTCAAAAGAAAACTAAAAGGCAAACAAACCCATGTCGAATTCGAATTCAAAGAGCAAAAATAATACGACGTACCTTAAAAATGGATGCGAAGAAGAAAGAACTCAAAAGCTAGCTGGGTCAGAAACTCAGAAACCCACCAGAGGCATTTAAGATTTTATTAATAACTAGTTAGAAAAGACGACCAAAAAATGAGAGAAGAAGGAAGACTTTTCTTTTCCCTCCCTTTATTATGAGTCAAAAAGACGAGCCTATGAATGAAGCTACCCACTCTGGCTCCTCCGTCACCCTCCCCAACTTTTGTTTTTCCTTTTTTTTTAAAAAAAAAATTTATTTTCTTTCTTTATGCGAAAATGAAATGCAAATTCAAATGCACCCAAAATGAAATGAAGGCCAAATGAAATGAAACGACGAAATCTTTTTCTAATAAAATGTGGGTCCCGTGTGTCTTATAATATCTAAAACCGACTTCGAGTGCGGCAGCGACACGTGTAATCAATCCAATAGAAACGGCCTTACCAAAGTGCGCTGTTCGAGATTCCGGATTGTCACGCTGTACGCGTTTTTGGCCTTTGTGTGATGACGTGGACGTACCACTACCGTCAGCGTGTCACCTGAGGCCACAAAAAGTTCGTTGTTTGTGCTGTGATTATTGGTCCGTCGATTTTATAAGTGCAGTTATCAGGTGAGGATATTGGTTCAGAGCTTCTACACACTTTAATTTGAAAAAAAAAAAAAAAAAAAAAAAACAAACTAGTTACGTGATATTTTTGAAATTACAATTTTTACTACTTTGTTTGAGATGGAATATACTATGGTCTATTTAGGGTCCGTTCACTTCGCTGATTGGAGTTTATAATTTGAGTTGAGATGTGATTTTATGTGAGAGCTTTTTACTGTAGCAAAAAAAAAAAAAATAGATGTAACTGTTTCTGAGAGCTTTTTACTGTAGCAAAATTCAAATTCTAAACTCGAATCGGTGAAATGAACGGGACCTTAGTTCGTTAATTTAAAATTTTAATTTGAATTGAAATATAATTTTATATAAGAGTCTTTTATTGTAGTAAAAAAAATTAAAAAAAAATTATTTATAAGAGTTTTTTACTATAATAAAATTTAAATTCTAAACTCAAATTAATAAAATGAACGAGAATTAAGTGAATGACACTAGTAATTTTCAAGAGGGACAAAATGGTTAAGAATAAGTCAAGTAGTTTGACAACAAGTTCTAAACAGAGAAGGTAAATAAAAAAAAAGTAGAGATGTGAAATTAAAAAGGACATTTTAAAAAAATTAAAACAGAAGAAAAACAAAAAATATCACTCAAGATAGTAAAAATATTATTTATGTAACAGCACTTAAAAATAAATAATTGTTATTTAAGTAATAACGAGAAAAGAAATGTTATAATGACACATAATTATTTAAAATAACATAAATAATAAATATGTAAAATCATAACAAACTATATACTTTTATCTTTTAAAAAAAAGGATCCCTACTGCATTTATGTTTAGTGAGTTTTAGAATTTTTTTTATGTACATTGTTTTGTTCTTTTAACCATTTTATTCACGTTAAAATAGTGATTGACGTGTGATCTTTGAGATTTCATCTGAAAATAAACAATTCAATAGTTAGGCCTCTAAAATGAATGTGGAGAGTTAAAATAAGATTAATATATAGGTTATTAATGAAAGCAATAAAGACAAAAAACGATTGACGACCCATATAAAATATTTTAACGAATAAAAGAAAGTTACCAATTTCTTGGAAGAGGAGGTAAAGAAAATTAGTGATTAAGTAAATGATTATTATTCTTAAACAAATAAAAGTACATCACTATTTTATTAAATATTATTATTTTAGCTTGAAAATAAGATAAATAAGTTTTTTCCCTAATGATACCAACATACAAGTACAAGTTTTCTCTCTAAACATCTTCATTTTTGCGTGAATTAAAAAATAGTGTGATCTATAGCCCCGTTCACTTCGTTGATTCGAGTTTAAAATTTGAGTTTTTCTACAGTAAAAAGTTCTCATAAACAATCACATCTAACTTTTTTGCTACAGTAAAAAGCTCTCATATAAAGTCACATCTCAACTCGAATCAGCGAAGTGAACGGGACATATATATATATATATATATGCATGTCTTTTTATTGCCTCACTTTTCACTATCTTTTTTCTTGCATTCCTTTTTCTTTTCTTCTCTAGCTAGTGGCTACTGGCTAGTGCTGGTATTGGCATTATTGTAAATTGTGAAATGAGCAATGACTCAACGAGCATCCAGGTCTACTTGAAGCCATCGACCAAGGGATTGTTATTTTAGAGTGTAACTTAAGTATAATTTTTGAGTTGAATTTGAATTATAATTTGAGTTAAAGTTATAATTTAAATAAAATTGAGTAAAATTAAATAAAAATAAAACTTAAAAGAACGTAAATTTAAATAAAGTTGTAACTTGAATTTGAATTTTTTTAAAATTTTATTGTAAAAGAACAACCCGAAATGCACATGACAAGAGCAATAGTTTCTAGAAGCTTTTACTTTTTTTTTTTTTTCTCCCTGTATGGCTAAAAAATATATCAACTTTTCTCTGCGTTTTCCTGCAGAATAATTTGAATTCGGACTCAGATTATAAAAACGACAATTTTTAATAACTTTTAGGTAAAAGTCCACTTTGGAGTGCTGTCATTTCCTATTCCAAGCAAATTTTTCTTCCTATTTAATAGGCGAAGAATGTTATCCATTGAGCTAGTTTGAAATTTGCTCAAAATCGGCTGTGTCTAAAATGCCCATAAGTGTGTGTGAGACGTGCTTAAATAATTTTCAATCTAAATGTTAATGTTAATTATATATTTATTATTAAAATATATAATATAGTATGTTATTTTTATTTTTATTTTAATACATAATATTATTTAAAATATTAAATTTATATTTTCTCATAATTAGTAAGCTCTGAGAGTTGTAAAAATAAATTTTTATGTTTAAAATAATTAGAAAACATAAAAATTACATTGATTATATGAAAAAGTAAATATTTTAACTAATAATAATCAAATGTCAAATTTCTCATATTTTATATTTGATAAAAAATTTATTACAAAATATAGCATATAAAAAATTGAACACAATAAATAACATTGCATTAAAGATACTCTTAGTTGTCTAATAATTAAACCGCAAGTTTAGAAGCTCTCTAGCTTTCCATTTCTATGTGTGTAAATTCTATTGAGGAATATATGTTCAACTATTTTCACTCCAAAAGGTAGATTTTATTGGTCGGATGTTTTTTTCAACAACACATTTCCCAATTTGATTAATTTCATGTTTTTTTTTTCATAAAGATTAATTTCACGAATTTAACTTAGGTGAAAGAATGAATTAAGCAAAAGTGAAAAGAAGTTGACCAAAGAAAATGATAGGCTGGAAAAGTTTGAAAAAAATACGGGAGATAGCATGCCAAACAAAATGATTGGGTAGGAAAAGTGTGATAAATGATCGAGATAACATGTTTTTTTTTTTTTTTTTTTTTTTTTTTTTTTTTTTTTTTTTTTTGAGATAGCATGCAATCTGAAAGAATTTATAAAGGAAAAAAAAGGCTTTAAGAAATACCTATTACTGCTCACATCAATTGACCTCAATGTGTCTCTAAACATAAAATCTTGTATTTCTTTTCTTTCATTTATAGTTTTGTTGTATACATGTATTCAGATTTGTATTATTATGATGCTTAAAACTTATCGTAGCAAAAGAAACGTCTCACATTTAACCATCTTTTTCTTACACAAGATTATAATAATAGGACGTTAACATAGTTTTTTATACACGTGTCCACGTCAATGAAACATTTAAGTAACTTATAATTTATTAGGTTTTGCATTCTTAAGAGAGAATTGATATAGACGAAAGTACACTTCTATGAATTAGGACATTTCATTAGAAAAATATATAAAAATTTTAAGAAACAACAATAGAATATGAAAGTTGGAATTGGAGGTTGAAAGTCCAAGACAAAGACTATATAAAGTAATAAAGCATTTCAATCTAAATGGATAAGCATAAGAACAAGCATTGGGGGGTTGTACCTTTCCCATGAGAAAATCCCAACTCGCGCATAAACTCTATTCAACCTACACCGTTGATCGTGATGTGCAAAAAAAATTTAGACGGATGCGATTGATTGGGGTGATGATGCATTGACAAGGAAGAGCAAAAGATTGAGAAAAGTCGACGAGTGTGTGGAAATTGGCGAGAGGGCCCACCGACCCACAAAACGACATGAAAAGATTGCATTCAAGGTCGGGTGGAGGTGGGACCCATGAAAATACCCCGATCAAGTCAGAAGCATTTTGATGTCGTTTTCGTCTTGTGGAATAGACTAATAGAGGCATCGTGTGTCTATGATCCAATTACTTTTCTCCCCCATCACCATCATGCCCTCGTTAGATTCTCATTAAAATGTTGGAAAAACAAAAATGGACGGCGTCTTTGTTTGGCCTTTTATTGGTGTGCTTATTTATTATTTTTATCTAATTTATCTTTCTTGTTGACGCTGAACTTGGACTTAATAATACCAATATTAAAAAATAAATTATTAATTTTGATGCATTATGACACCTGATTAAAAGCATATACTAAATAGAGACAACAAAGCAAATATTGTATTACAGTACGTGAAGGAAATTATAAATAACTAAACTTTGAAGGCCCTAACTAGCATTTGTCGAGTTAGAATGAGAAAGAAAATAAGAGCACTGTTATTCATTCTAATGCAGTTAAAATTCCGCTACTTTTATAACTCATAAGTTGGGTCATGTTAAGTAAACGTTTCATGAGTGATGCTGTTTTTATCCACAAGAAGATAAATATTGTTTTTAAAAAATAGTGCTATGAAAAATAGTGCTGTGAAAAAGTAATTTATGAAGAAATACTATTTTAGATGTGAGTATTAAGCTTTGCTATGGAATGACTAAGATAAACCACATCCCATCAACACGTTGATGGCATTTGAAGGGAATAAAGTAATTAGCCTTTAAAGACAAGTTGTTAGATGAGGCTACTGATGAGTGAGTTTTACTCGATCATTTAATATCATTTTATACTTAATATCTAGTTGGTTTTTGAGGTTTTTATTAGTTTTTATGTGTGTTTTCGTTCTTTGTTTGAAGGTTAGGTGAAAGTCTATAATTTGGAAGGTTTTGGACAAATTTCAGTGGAAAAAGACAGCAAACATAA